ACCGACCAACTAGTCGCATACTGTTGATTAGTTATCTGCCTCAAACAAATCATCGCTTGTATATTTATATATAAAATGACCCATGCATATATTCCTACTTGATTCTGGTGGGGTTTTTTTCTCACTGGGTAGATGACAGTGCCAGTCGAAGTTCTTTCAGTAGCAAAGCGAGACGCATGTCACGTAAGCCAACGTATTGTATATCTCGTACAACAAACAGTTCCGTCTCAGTTATCTCAAAAACACATCTTCCACCTGGATCTCATAATCATCCCCGTTCGTTATCTGCTACTGAATCTAGAGGAACAGTTTCTGTTGTTGAATCCATACGTATCAACACATCAACTGTAGAATCTCTCCTACCACCAAGGAAAGCTCGCTCACATAAACGTGTTATGATGGTTGATGATAGTGAAGAAGAGGATGAAGAAGACTCTGATAATGACGCAGTCGATGATGATCCTGATGATGAAGACTTTTAAACAATTATTTATGAAATGTTTATTCCGTAAACCAACATTTTCGCTTCATGAACTTACTCTTCATTCAATTTGGTTTTTTTCTTTAAGTGTTTAAATACATTAGGCATGTTATGTTGTAATTTATCACTTTTTCTTTCAAAATATAAACATTATTGTTGTATGTTAAGTGGAAATATAGTACGTTTCGTAATTGTTACATTCTTATAATAGTTCATTAATATTTTTTCTGTGTTGTTAGTTATTCCTGAAGTTGGTTGTAATGTCAAATAATTATCACAAATAGAGCTTGACGGTGAGGCTAAATGTGGCCTACTCCTAATATCTACATAGACAATTATTATTTTATTGTTCTAGCCTTACTGGATAAATGTTAGGAGGTTGATTTACAACATTTTTGAGCAGCTTATTGCTTCAATTATAGTTAACCAAAGTCACCAATCTCGCTCAATTACTTACTCGTTTTCGTGGCTTTAAAAAACGATTAAAATGTTCACAAGACATTCATCTTATCGTGATTTATTGGTTTCAGATCTTAATATATACCAGCTATAATAAGTACGGTAGCTGCTTAGTGTTAGTTGCATCTACTTTACCGACGTCAGTGTTTTGAGTTCAACCTATTTATTTCGAAAATGACTTCCAGCTTCTCCAACCACTTACTTTACATAATGAAAGATGTTGGTCTTACTCAAAAATAGTAATCTTGTAATCAATGTACACTAGTTGGGCAAAGATTAGTATCAATGTATGGATGACGATCTACATCAGCATTTACTACAGATACAATTGCCTACTATTGTTTAGACACTTGCGTATCAGTGTTATACATTGAGTAACATTTGAATACGTTGTATATCATCACAGTAAGATGAAACCAATCACGTCACAATGTACTTCGTTAATAAAAGTTTCCAAATGTCATGGATGGCAAATCATGGGATTAGGCAACCTTGCCAAATTCAACTAATGGTACAGATTATTATAAATATTGTGCCTGGTGTTAGATGTTAGAAGGTTTATCAATGATGCCTCATCTACTCGACAATTTATATCGTAGATCAATTCAACTGACAAAAATTATCTCAAGTAACAAAATATAAGTATAATATGTGTATTATATAGTAACATTTCAAGCCTGTTATGTTATCGAGTGCGCAAAAATGATACTCCAATTTGTTTCCTAATTCTGACGGTATGTTTTCGATCTGACGTTCCCTTGTAAATTTCTGTTACAGAAACGTGGAGCCTCAGTGTAATTTTCATAGACATATCGTATCGTTTTTACAGGAAAAAACTCATTACTGGCTTCAGCTCGAAATTTATTCAATCCAACTTTAGTTCAAAAGGTGTTTACATGGTTTTCTATCTGCCCTTTTAGTTATCACGTGACTTATTTGTCAATCAGAACACGACTCGTGTGGTCTTAGCACTGTACCAAGCCAATGACGCGTTGACCGGTACGAGCAGTCTAGAGTCCTTATTGATCCTCGCGTAGCCCTGTCAGTTGAGTCCAGAATACCAATATCAGCTTGCACTGTATGAATAATATTTCCCAGACATACTTGGTTTATATACAAACAAACCAGACTACGTCATAAAACAAAAAAATAACAATTATGCAGAACCAAGCCAAAATGTGGCTGTGAGAGACTGTCACTAATAAACTGGGAATAACATAAGGATAGTAAACCGTATTTTATTTATTTGAACATATAAATATTGGTACAAGATGGCACCAAATATATATGCGCCACACAGTAAGCCGTATAATAGTAGTCCATAAGTCAAATGAAAGCTTATGATAAAAGGAATATAAATATACACATAATAAAATTACTTAATAGTTATTCGATAAGAATATAACAATAATAATCCACAAATAGATTCTAGCGATTGGTATTTACTTATTCTTCGTCCAGATATCAGAAAGCCCACACAGGTTATTCTGGTTTACGGACAGAGCAGTTTATTTATTCTTCTTCAGTCTTATTTTCACCTTGTCAACTATTCGCTTATCATACTTTCATATGAGTGGTTCTTTGCATCGCTTACCCTATTTATTACATGCTTTTAGCTTATTTTTCTGGCTATAAATATTGAGTCACGCTTTGTCAAATGGAGTTATCACACTTGCCTCCCCCCTTTGCTCTTCTTTTCCACTTCTCATTCCTAATATCTGTCCGTCCGAATAAACCAGCGCCGGAAAAAATAATCCGACTCAATTTGAATTTGGCTTAATACCGCTGTCGCACAAACGGGAATAGTTTAGGTATAATATACAAAGTTGAAGATTCCCATTCACGGCATATCCTTTCATCCTTTCAAATCGAAGTTAGGTTAACGGGCCGCTTAGGTACAATAACAATAACATTCTTCTTGAGTCACATTTTGACCTTGTCAATTGTTCGTTGACTAACCTTGATTGTGTTTTCTACGACCTTGTGTGTATATTACTTACACTATTCATTATGTCTGTAGCTTGTTTTTGTCTGACAACAAATATTGAATCCCGCTTTATCAAAATGAGTTGGCTCACTTGCTTTCTCTTCATTCATTTCTTTCCCAACAATAGTCACTTCGTATCGCTTTCCCATCCGACTTTTTGTTGAACTCATAATGCGCTCGCTAGAATTATCTTTTTTGTTCAAATTCGCTTAGTGTACTCGTGGCTTATTGATCTGTGTTACTCGATAAGTCAACATTTACTCTTGACTGTGGGTAAGCAGAGATTCGCTAAAAAAGAAGCTGGATTTTTCTTGGGGCTTTGTACACTTGGACATAGTGAACATCCTAATACATATTCTCCTACTTGATTATCAATGTTTAGCCAATAAACAGCTTCGGGGGATGCTCTTATTCTCGCAATACCACGACGCGTGGTATGTAATTGTACCATAACGTTTTGGCACGGGCAAGTGGGTACAACTGCTGGACATCCTAACATAACTCAACTACCTTAGTGGTCTTGAGTGCTGTTAGAGGTATGAGAGCGGTTATCACTTCCCGGTTGCCAACACGTGGAAGGGTTCTTCTGGAGGTACCTGAAAAGGAAATTGGGTTAGAGGTGGTCCTAGTGACCACAGTGCCCAAGGTTCAGCTGCTTGAGGTCGGTCACACACCTTTTTATGGGTAATTTTTCTGCTAGCTCCGTACTTGCTGAGACCTTACCGCCGGAGACGGATATCGTGGGATAAGGCGAGGTGTGCATTTTTAGGGTCGATCTTTTCTAACCCCACCCCTCCTTGTGGGAAGGCAGCATCGCTATCATGCTGGTTGTCCGAAGGAAACACCTTACTGCTGTCACCCCTCTGTACAGTCAGCAGTACGACTTCGCCTTCGGACCTTGGGTTTGTTGCTTTTAGTCTTACCGCTCTTCAACCAACCTGTCTGACATGGTAGGACCTAGAGGAACGGTTGTTCCAACCAGTATAGCTCGGTTGCTTCATCACGATAGGCAAGCCCGACCACCGCGTCAAGGTAGCAACAACGGTCGGGGACTCAACTATCTACAAATGAGAGCTCGGTCGATGAGAATATTAGGGAAGTTCCTGTTGGGGCGATCCAAAAAACTTCTCTCAAAAGACAAGTAAGGCTCAGCAAACACTAAGAAGCATTTTGTCCAATCAGCGTTCACCAGAAGTTTAGCCAGAAACATCAAGAAAGTGAAGAGTCACATGTAGAGTTTCTGATTGGCAGATTACTTTACTGCTACTATGTTTAGTAGCATTCCAAGATTTTCGGGAAACCCAAGGACATCTACAATACTATAAAAACCCTATATTTTCTGTACTAAAACGAACCTTTGGAGTATAGTGCTTCTCGCATATTTTTCGCCTTTCCTCTCGTGTTCAGGACGCTGTGTATTTCTAGCTTGGGGGTTACGGGAATAGCTTAGGAACCGAATATAGCGTTCAATTTGCAAGACTTATCAGTTCCCTTGAGTGTAACTGTGAGAGCGAACCACATGATAGGTAGTGGGAAATATGCTGACTTTTTTCGTCACTTATTTTACGTAAAAACCACTTAGTTGATAATCCCTTTACTTCTTGCATTATGTAAGAATAATGAGAATTGACGATACGTGTTTTTATTATAGAGACTATGATTTTAGGGACGAGATTATACTTCAATACCAGTCACTTCCAAACTAAATATAAAGATTTCTTTACTGCCTGATAATGATCATCCGCGCGGTCATTAACTCTAATAAAATTCAGTAATAATACCCAAGTGCATAACTCATTGTATTATTTAGAAAAATAAATATTATTTATTCGCGAGGGTTAGTAAGTTACTTTTACTTTATTAGTTATATATTTATCCATAATACGACAGTACAAATAAGTATTCTAGTTAATAGTCAGTATAACAAAAGTTAACGGCCAAAATCATTACTAGCCTAATTTTTTCAATGAAAGTTGCTTTTACAGACGTATACTAACTTTCAAAATAGAATAACTGTAAGTAGAGAAGAAATTAAAGTAGGAGAAATAGAAAGATACAGCACATATCAGTGAATCAAACTAAGGTTTGAATAATATCTGTATTCACTTTTGAAAGCATTAGATTATCAAATTCATCTTTTTGAGAGGAAGTATGATTACTCTTCAATGACAAAGAAACAGGATCACCATCGAGTAAAAGATGCGGATAGTCTCCTAACAAACTACAAACGTACTTCAAGAAAGAACTTGCAACAACTTCACTTACACATCGTGAGTCAATTGACAATGTTAGCGTTATATTGGTTGAAAAAGTTATTTCATTTTCGGCATATGATGTTGAGATACAAGCCTCTGGCAAACCACTCCCAACAGCCAAAATAGCGACTTGAGGATGATTCACAATAGTGGTGAACTCTCGAATATCGTAAATTCCAAGATTAAAGATTCTATTAAGAAAAGAAAGACGGATAAATCTGCATAACACTAGTTCACGAAGTCGTGGGTGGAATACCCTGTACAAAATAAAGGGCTCATGAGTAGTGAACCAGATTATTCATAAAACTTGACAAATTCTGGGTTCCCCAATACATAACAACGAAAAGCGGAATGCTATATAGTGTCTTATTTTTACTTCTTCCCAAAGTTGAAAATCTAAGCAATTCATGAAGTATTTAGTACTGAAATTAGTGGTGAATTGTAATGCGATGGTAGATAAGTAGTGGGAAGATTCACTTTTAACTCAAATAGTTTTAGTGAATTTCGAAAGTTTTGCCTAAAACTATGAATATCAGTACCTCTCGATATTTAAGGTTGAGATTAATTTCATAGTTGGTCATTCCCTATACTCTACTTTCGTGCTGATAAGCACCAGTGTTTCTAATATCTTTAACAAAGCCTTGAAAAGCTAGTTTATTGACTTTAAACGAAGTTAAGTTACAACACTTTTGGCTCTTAATAAGTTAACCTTACCAATAGCAGTGGTCGCTGGATGATTTAGCGATCGCACCGCGTTTTAATTTAAAATAATTGGAATCTTCAAGGATTTGGATGGCTTATTTCTCCCCCATCTTTATTGATGGAAATTTAATAAAATATATTAACAAACGTTGCCCCCGAATGCCCTGGTACGGCCGAGAGTGGTGTGAGTCCGCTCTCCCTCTCGAAATACTCTCACACGGCCACGCGTATACAGCCTCTGCCAGGGAAGTCCTACTCATTGCCTTCTCGTGGCGGGGGTGTTGTCTACGAAAATGAGAGGACGAAAAGCGAATGTCCGGCGCTTTAACCGGTTTCCAAATCAATGGTGCACATGGGCTCCAGTATCCTGCGGGAACGAATGGCGTATGAACCAATCGTTGGTCACCGGCTACCATGGGACTGCATCTCCTTACGATGCTCCACTGCCTTGTGGGTTAGACCTTTAGGTCAAAGGCTCGGGGAGTGGCCCCCTAAGATAACCACCTGCTTCGGTTTGGGCACCCGGGCAGTATCACAGCCCACACACAAATTGATGAACTCTTTATGCCTATGGAAATTACCTTTCTCGCTTTGAAAAACAAACAATTGATTCAGATTATTATCATTACAATTATTGTCATTATTAATACTAATATTATTATTACTACTATTATTGTCATTATTGTTATTATTATCATTATTATTATTATTTTCCACATTATTCACCCTCTTTTATACCTATACAGCGGCTCGTCTTTGGTGGAAATCCGACTATATCTAAACGTTCTCGAGTCACTGTCCGGTTGAAAATTGTATGTTACCACCGAATACGAGGACTGAAGCAGATTTTCTGAAACCACGTGCGCCATTCAAACTGGCTGCCTTCAACGTTCGCACATTTATGCAGGTCGGACAACAGATAGGGCTGGCTATGTCTTTGGAAAGTCTTCATATCGATGTCTGCTGTACATCCGAAACCCGTATTCAAGACTCTGGCGAAGTACTACAAATTCGATCTCCATCTGTCGCTTCGAAAAGCTTGTTTTACGTGCGCTTATCCGGGAACCCTGTGGCATCTTCGTCTGGTCTTGCTGGCGTTGGTGTCGCACTAAGCGCTCGAGCTGAGGCAGCACTAGTCGATTGGATCCCCATCAACAGTCGGTTATGTGCTGTTAGATTAGAAAGTTCCATCAAAGTGAGGGAAAATCGGCGTGAGAAACGATGTCTTTTCGTCATCTCCGCCTATGCCCCGACAGATTGCAGCCCGGATGCAATCAAGGATGAGTTTTACCACCAGTTATCAGTTCTTCTCCAGAAAGTGCGTTCGACAGATATTGTAGTACTAGCCGGAGACTTGAATGCTCAGGTCGGGCGTCTAGGCACAGAAGAGAGTCGTTTAGGTGGCCGATGGGGACTCGTTGGTCGCAGGTCAGATAACGGGGACCGTCTACTGCAACTGTGCACAGACCACAACCTGTTTCTGGCTAGCACTAACTTTCGGCACAGTCATCGCCGATGTGCCACCTGGCGTCCTCCCTCTGCATCTCAAGCCTGGACTCAGATTGATCACATCGCGATCAGCTACCGCTGGCGTGGTTGTGTACAAGACTGCCGCTCCTTTTCGAGTACCTATCTGGACTCTGACCATGCCTTGGTCTGCGCCAATCTTGCCTTACTTTTCAGTGGACAACGAAGTGACCGCCAGCAAAGGATTGATATTAGCAAGCTGGTTGCAACTTCTGTAGCTACCACTCCACCGAAAAGTATGGATGAGCATTGGTTGCAATTGCGTGACGCCATGAAAATGGCGGGAACAGTCAGTTATGGGTTCGCGAAACGTCCCACTTTTAAGCACTAGGTTTCTTCTGGTTCCTTACAACTCACTGAGGCCCGTCGGTCTACTCCGGGTGACCGTGAGTTTGACCATAAACGAAGGATGTTACTTAAGGAAATTGGGCAAAGCTTGCGTAAGGACCGAGAAGACTGGTGGTCAAAGCGTGCTAATGAGCTGGAAGCAGCAGCTGCATCTGGTAACTACCGGAAGCTCTTCCAGCTCATCCGAGCCACTGGCAGCAAGAAGTCTGGTGTGAGTGAAACAATCTGCGAGGATGATGGGATGCCAATCACTAACATTCATCGACGTCTTGGACGGTGGGCAGAATTTTTCGAAGGGCAGTTCAACTGGCCTGCTGCTCCGGCAACATCGGTCAGACTGTCCTGCCCTCCATGGCCGGTGACGACTGATCCACCAAATGAGGAGGAAGTCCGCAAGGAACTCCAACTCTTGAAGCGTTACAAATCACCTGGCCCAGATGACTTACCTCCGGCTCTTTTTAAAGATGGTGGTGACTTTTTGACTAAGGAATTGACGACGTTGTTTACAAAGGTTTGGGAACTAGAGAGTGTACCAACGTCATGGAATGAGTCGATAGTTGTCCCTATCTTTAAAAAGGGTTCACGTCGTTCTTGTAACAACTATCGGGGGCTAAGTCTACTTCCGATTGCGTCCAAGCTATTGGCTTCCATCATACTTCGTAGGTTGTTCAAAACCCGAGAAAGACTGTCTCACGAGGAGCAGGCTGGTTTTAGTTCTGGTCGAGGATGTATTGATCATATCTTCACCCTCCGCCATACTTATCAAAGGCCAACAATCGTAGTGTTTCTGGACATCAGGGCTGCTTTCGATTCGTTGGACAGAACTGTTCTCTGGGATTGTCTATTGAAGAAGGGTGTGTCTGAGAAGTTTATTAACATCCTAAAAGCCCTGTATAAATACACCTCAGGCAGAGTGAGGGCATACAACCACCTCTCTCCATTGTTCCATTCGAGCAGTGGGGTTAGGCAGGGTTGCCCAATCTCACCATTCCTCTTCAACTTTGCCATCGATGACATTCTGGAAACAGCTCTGATGAATGTAAGTAATGGTGGTGTGGATCTGTTGCCTGGAGAAAGACTTCTCGACCTTGAGTATGCGGACGATATTGTCTTACTGTGCGATAATGCCCAAGGCATGCAATCCGCACTTAATCAGTTGGCAATCAGTGTCCGTAGGTATGGTATGTGCTTTGCACCTTCGAAGTGCAAAGTACTTCTACAAGACTGGCAGGATTCCAATCCTGTACTCACCCTGGATGGTGAGCAGATAAACGTAGTTGAGAAGTTCGTGTATCTGGGTAGCTGCATAATTGCTGGTGGGGGTGTGAGTGATGAGATCAATGCACGAATAGTGAAAGCCAGAGCGGCTTATGCCAATCTGGGCCACCTTTGGCGCCTTCGTGATGTTAGTCTGGCTGTAAAAGGTCGGATCTACAACGCGTCGGTGAGAGCAGTTCTGCTCTATGCTTGTGAAACCTGGCCTCTACGAGTTGAGGACGTTAGACGACTCTCTGTGTTCGATCATCGCTGTCTCCGAAGGATCGCTGACATTCAGTGGCAACACCATGTCAGTAATGCAGAGGTTCGGCATCGTGTGTTCGGGCACAGAGATGATAATTCAATTGGTGCCACCATCTTGAAACACCGACTTCGGTGGCTTGGACATGTTCTACGAATGTCGTCCCAGAGAATTCCACGTCGTGCATTATTTGCCGACTCTGGGACTGGTTGGAGAAAGCGGAGAGGTGGTCAGTGCATGACATGGTGTCGTGGCATGAAAGAAAGCTGCAAAGGACTGGCTTGTGTTGGTCCTTCACGACTCCCTGGTTGGGGTATGAGAGATGGTGCTACACAGTGGCTAGAGACGTTATCAGATATGGCTCAGAATAGATGCCAGTGGCGATCCTGCTGTAACCTTCTTTTACTTTCTTTATAAAAAGTGGTTGTGTCTCCTTTACCTGAAAGATTTCTTCCGATTGTACCTTTGCGTCCCTGATTACTAGCACATTACCTTAAACCATTCTCTTCGTTATTGTTCTCTCCTTTTTTTGTTGCGCTCCTTAGCTTTTTTTTCTTTCTTTGTATTCCTCTCGAATTTTCATTGTTTTGTGTGGTGCATATATATTGGCGCTCTCTTGTACCAATATTCATGTGTCCAAATAAATAAATAAATAATCATATTTTGATGCATATGGTCGTTGAATTTTTGGGGATTATGGTTTACAAGGAAACATCTAAAAACACCAGAAACGAATGTGATTCAAGCTCTAAACAGACACTTACGTGAAACTCCCACCTTCAAGTTCATGTGGTTGTAATATACCATCTCGTGCTTTCTGCACCAACTGTTGCGACAACTTTGAGATATCAGAAACATTAAGTGTATCTGCAGAATGCAAAATTGGCGTAAGTAACCCTGATTTAGTTGCTACTGCCATACTTAAATCGACCGATCTCAGATAAATGGCAGATTCAGCTTGAGAATCATAAACGGCGTTCAAATCTGGAACAAGCTTAACAAAGGCAGAAAATGATGTGTTTTCATAACTATAACTATAGGATATTAATCATAAATAAAACAAAAGTTGATAGGTAGCTGCAGAACTGTATCTGAATGTTGTTTATTCAATGTGTTCAAGCTAGTTAAACGCTTTTTTCAAAAACTTGTAGATGAATTTAATAGGTTGTCTACTTATGTATCACCTAAAAACAGTAGTTTTTGGACATTGAGTAGGCCTGATTACGAATCAGTAGTGTAGCAAATTTAAGCGAGATCTCGTTATGCAATAAAGTCCAAAAAACTAAGTCCTATACACTGCACACCCGTTTGTAGGTCATATTTAACCTTGTCTTCTACCTTCGGTGGATATATAAGACATGTCACAATAAAAAAAGATATAAGCTAACTGATGGTTTGTAAATTAAATCGACTTATAAACAATTGCAGATCTTAAATTTTCCACCTCATGTTTTCCCCTAGAAATATAATTAAAGCACTTCAGACCAGATTCAATCGAATTGTAAGGAAATCCACCTTTTCTCTAAATAATTTGAAGAATTAGATAAATACCTACCTTATTTTAACGAAAAGATTGCGTGACAATAGAAAATTCAAGTATGTCACTAAAATAAAATACCTAGTTCGATATCGTCAGATAAGGTATTCATATTGGAAAACTGGTCTATTTTGAATCCTGTAAGATTTTGACCAGAACTGTTAAGGACTCAACGATGAAATTTCTTACCTGAATAATAAGTCTAAAAAACCAAATATAGCTCTTAATATGTTGTTATACAAGGTGATGTAAGTGAACAGCTATTTTTATAGTTTGATAGGACCTTCTGGAAATACAAGCACATTATATCAAACGTCTAAAATCTCGAAAGTCAATATAATCAATGAATGAAACTACATGTTTAAAGATAATTCATACTGTTTGGCGTCTATGAGAAAAAACAGGAAAGTAAGCTTATGACTAACAATTTTGTATCTAACATTGTAGTAATGTACATTCGCGAGGAATAGGGCCTTGCTGATGTTTTCTTTTCTATTTTAGATTTAGTAACAAAAACATGCATTTAAATTCTCATTTTGAATATCAATAAGATAAGAAAAAAGTAATATAACGGATTCGACAGCTGATTGGATTTAGTTTATATATATATATATATATATATATATATATATATATATATATATATATATATATATATATATATATATATATATATATATATATATATATATCAAACAGAGAAACAAACTTACCCTTAAGCCTAAAGCACAAGCTTTGATGATGAAATCATTTATAGAAAAATCCACATCCGAATCCACTTTCAGTTCAGTTCTTAATTCATTTAGACGATTAATGCGAGTAGTTGCACAAATATATTGATGTGGGACAGACAATTTTGATTCCGACAAACGTCGGGCAAAAGCATTCCTCATATTCAATGACGTGATATCTGTGAAAGTGGCTACTGACGAGACAGTTTGCATAACAGGGATATCATTAATTGGCTTTTCCTGATCAGATACAACAGGTTTATTCTGGTTGTTAGCTATGTAAGCCAAAACATCCCTAGGATGAAGATAACCAAGTAAAATAAACACATAGAACATAACAAATAACCTTATCGATGTTGAATATTTGGTTTAAAATTCCCATCCTATTATTACTAATAAGTTCACGCATGGAAGAGTCAAATTTCTTAATTTCTTGAAAGGAACCAACCTGAAGAAAAATATAATTAAATAGTTTTATGCTTAACTCGATTAACGAACCAGTTTTATACACTGATCTTTATGAATGGGGGAGAAATACTACTAAGCAGGCCAAAGCAGACTGGATATGAAGCAACAAGCCAGCACCTGAAATCCCGTTGATGAAATCACTGCTTCAGTGTTTAATCTTAAACCGGATAGATTATTGTCAAAAGAAACAGCGTAAATGGTTAACTTTAGAATTCACAACGTAAACTCCAGGACAATGAGTTGCTAAGTTGATCATGAAACAGTCGACTATGAATTTGAGTGATGACACTAAGAGAATAACGCGATATAAAAAAGTTGTTGGATATTCTCGTGGAAAGGGACCAATTAGTAAATAAAAATAATAACAGTATAAAACGTATTAAACACTGAACCAATTGAAACTACCGTATCTGGAGTTTGTGCTGATGATGTCGTTTAGAAGCATGATGAACGCTCCACAACCAGACCATGCAGCTCATAGAACAAAACTCCATCAACGACACTTTATTGTTGAGAGCACATTTTCCCATCGTTTCGCTGCTACGTAGTCATGGTTTTTTCGATTGACAATCGACCAAAACTTAAGTATCTTTTGTCAACTATTATATGGAAAAGCGTGAACTATGTGAATTTTCTTTTTGTCCTTTCACTATCTGCATCCCGGAACCAGATAGTTTAAAGGAAATGAATAGAAACACAATTAAAAGGCTATATGCCTTAGATATTCCTCGTTGCCAACCAAGAAGTATCAACCGCCAGCCCTTGTGCACAGTCGACAACCTGATATTCATATAAGTTGATAGAAAAATTTCCAAACATTCAACAACCACTTGGAACCTTTGACTAACTGGTCGTAAGCCAAATACTTCAGTCAATATGCTACGAGCCAAAACCGTCAATTCGATGACTCAGGGATAAGGTCACTCGCGACGCAGACTAGCAGTATGTTATACATAACCAAATAGAAATACGATATATTAACACAACTATAAATCCTCTTACAAACCCCGTGTTAGTTTTAAAGCCCTAAGAACGAGAATATAGTAAGTGAATGATAGCAAAAGTAGAGTAGTTTAATGGTTGACCACTTATTTGTAGGCTTAAAATCCTGCCACATTCTTCCGTTTAATTGTGGATCTCGCGAAACCAGTTCATCTTACCCTTTGAGCAACTGACCATGTGGTCCTGTAGAAATTATTTGAGATCCATCGATATCGTGTGATTGTAACAGAAGACGAACCGCAGGTCCCATTGAACAAAAGCGGTATGACTGTGGTTCCTGGATAGTGCGGTTTTTTTCTGACTGTTTTGGAGTACTGTCGGCTGTCGATGGCTGTGATAGTAATACGGCGGAAGCAGCCACCTCTTGCCAATGCTCGTCTGGAGTGGCTAACACAGCAATCAAACCACCGACTTTGATATTTGATGAGCCAGTGGGTGCCTATAAGACATTAAATTGTAGGACATTTTTAATTAGAATCAAGTGGTCAGTAAAACACTTTGTACGAGGGTAAGGTTTCACTCAATTAATCAAAACAGTGAACTTATCAGAATTTTGACTGTTAAAACTACTTGGTGTTTCCCAACACTTATTTTCTTTAAAAGATTAGGTCAGTATATTTATTATACAAATTAAAAAACGATTGACAAAATGAAGACATCAGATTTTACCAATAATGGAAATTTATTTATTTATTTATTTGAACACATAAATATTGGTACAAGAGAGCGCCAATATATATGCGCCACACAAAACAATGGGAATTCGAAGAAAAGTAGAAAGAGAAAAAAAAACAAAGGAACGCAAAAGAAAAAGAGAACAATGACGAAGAGATTGGAGTAAGGTAGTGTGGTAGTAACGACGGAACGACAAGGTACAATCAGAAGAAATCTTTCAGGTAAAGGAGACACAACCACTTTTTATAAAGAAAGTAAAAGAAGGTTACAGCAGGATCGCCACTGGCATCTATTCTGAGCCATATCTGATAACGTCTCTAGCCACTGTGTAGCACCATCTCTCATACCCCAACCAGGGAGTCGTGAAGGACCAACACAAGCCAGTCCTTTGCAGCTTTCTTTCATGCCACGACACCATGTCATGCACTGACCACCTCTCCGCTTTCTCCAACCAGTCCCAGAGTCGGCAAATAATGCACGACGTGGAATTCTCTGGGACGACATTCGTAGAACATGTCCAAGCCACCGAAGTCGGTGTTTCAAGATGGTGACACCAATTGAATTATCATCTCTGTGCCCGAACACACGATGCCGAACCTCTGCATTACTGACATGGTGTTGCCACTGAATGTCAGCGATCCTTCGGAGACAGCGATGATCGAACACAGAGAGTCGTCTAACGTCCTCAACTCGTAGAGGCCAGGTTTCACAAGCATAGAGCAGAACTGCTCTCACCGACGCGTTGTAGATCCGACCTTTTACAGCCAGACTAACATCACGAAGGCGCCAAAGGTGGCCCAGATTGGCATAAGCCGCTCTGGCTTTCACTATTCGTGCATTGATCTCATCACTCACACCCCCACCAGCAATTATGCAGCTACCCAGATACACGAACTTCTCAACTACGTTTATCTGCTCACCATCCAGGGTGAGTACAGGATTGGAATCCTGCCAGTCTTGTAGAAGTACTTTGCACTTCGAAGGTGCAAAGCACATACCATACCTACGGACACTGATTGCCAACTGATTAAGTGCGGATTGCATGCCTTGGGCATTATCGCACAGTAAGACAATATCGTCCGCATACTCAAGGTCGAGAAGTCTTTCTCCAGGCAACAGATCCACACCACCATTACTTACATTCATCAGAGCTGTTTCCAGAATGTCATCGATGGCAAAGTTGAAGAGGAATGGTGAGATTGGGCAACCCTGCCTAACCCCACTGCTCGAATGGAACAATGGAGAGAGGTGGTTGTATGCCCTCACTCTGCCTGAGGTGTTTTTATACAGGGCTTTTAGGATGTTAATAAACTTCTCAGGCACACCCTTCTTCAATAGACAATCCCAGAGAACAGTCCTATCCAACGAATCGAAGGCAGCCCTGATGTCAAGAAACACTACGATTGTTGGCGTTTGAAAAGTATGACGGTGTTGTGACATTTGGCGGAGGGTGAAGATATGATCAATACATCCTCGACCAGAACGAAACCCGGCCTGCTCCTCGCGAGTCAATCTTTCTCGGGTTTTGAACAACCTACGAAGTATGATGGAAGCCAATAGCTTGGACGCAATCGGAAGTAAACTTATCCCTCGATAGTTGTTACAAGAACGACGTGAACCCTTTTTAAAGATAGGGACAACTATCGACTCATTCCATGACGTTGGTACACTCTCTAGTTCCCAAACCTTTGTAAACAACGTCGTCAATTCCTTAGTCAAAAAGTCACCACCATCTTTAAAAAGAGCCGGAGGTAAGTCATCTGGGCCAGGTGATTTGTAACGCTTCAAGAGTTGGAGTTCCTTGCGGACTTCCTCCTCATTTGGTGGATCAGTCGTCACCGGCCATGGAGGGCAGGACAGTCTGACCGATGTTGCCGGAGCAGCAGGCCAGTTGAACTGCCCTTCGAAAAATTCTGCCCACCGTCCAAGACGTCGATGAATGTTAGTGATTGGCATCCCATCATCCTCGCAGATTGTTTCACTCACACCAGACTTCTTGCTGCCAGTGGCTCGGATGAGCTGGAAGAGCTTCCGGTAGTTACCAGATGCAGCTGCTGCTTCCAGCTCATTAGCACGCTTTGACCACCAGTCTTCTCGGTCCTTACGCAAGCTTTGCCCAATTTCCTTAAGTAACATCCTTCGTTTATGGTCAAACTCACGGTCACCCGGAGTAGACCGACGGGCCTCAGTGAGTTGTAAGGAACCAGAAGAAACCTAGTGCTTAAAAGTGGGACGTTTCGCGAACCCATAACTGACTGTTCCCGCCATTTTCATGGCGTCACGCAATTGCAACCAATGCTCATCCATACTTTTCGGTGGAGTGGTAGCTAGCCTAGAGGCTAGCTCGGTTCGATACTTATTTGCAACAGAAGTTGCAGCCAGCTTGCTAATATCAATCCTTTGCTGGCGGTCACTTCGTTGTCCACTGAAAAGTAAGGCAAGATTGGCGCAGACCAAGGCATGGTCAGAGTCCAGATAGGTACTCGAAAAGGAGCGGCAGTCTTGTACACAACCACGCCAGCGGTAGCTGATCGCGATGTGATCAATCTGAGTCCAGGCTTGAGATGCAGAGGGAGGACGCCAGGTGGCACATCGGCGATGACTGTGCCGAAAGTTAGTGCTAGCCAGAAACAGGTTGTGGTCTGTGCACAGTTGCAGTAGACGGTCCCCGTTATCTGACCTGCGACCAACGAGTCCCCATCGGCCACCTAAACGACTCTCTTCTGTGCCTAGACGCCCGACCTGAGCATTCAAGTCTCCGGCTAGTACTACAATATCTGTCGAACGCACTTTCTGGAGAAGAACTGATAACTGGTGGTAAAACTCATCCTTGATTGCATCCGGGCTGCAATCTGTCGGGGCATAGGCGGAGATGACGAAAAGACATCGTTTCTCACGCCGATTTTCCCTCACTTTGATGGAACTTTCTAATCTAACAGCACATAACCGACTGTTGATGGGGATCCAATCGACTAGTGCTGCCTCAGCTCGAGCGCTTAGTGCGACACCAACGCCAGCAAGACCAGACGAAGATGCCACAGGGTTCCCGGATAAGCGCACGTAAAACAAGCTTTTCGAAGCGACAGATGGAGATCGAATTTGTAGTACTTCGCCAGAGTCTTGAATACGGGTTTCGGATGTACAGCAGACATCGATATGAAGACTTTCCAAAGACATAGCCAGCCCTATCTGTTGTCCGACCTGCATAAATGTGCGAACGTTGAAGGCAGCCAGTTTGAATGGCGCACGTGGTTTCAGAAAATCTGCTTCAGTCCTCGTATTCGGTGGTAACATACAATTTTCAACCGGACAGTGACTCGAGAACGTTTAGATATAGTCGGATTTCCACCAAAGACGAGCCGCTGTATAGGTATAAAAGAGGGTGAATAATGTGGAAAATAATAATAATAATGATAATAATAACAATAATGACAATAATAGTAGTAATAATAATATTAGTATTAATAATGACAATAATTGTAATGATAATAATCTGAATCAATTGTTTGTTTTTCAAAGCGAGAAAGGTAATTTCCATAGGCATAAAGAGTTCATCAATTTGTGTGTGGGCTGTGATACTGCCCGGGTGCCCAAACCGAAGCAGGTGGTTATCTTAGGGGGCCACTCCCCGAGCCTTTGACCTAAAGGTCTAACCCACAAGGCAGTGGAGCATCGTAAGGAGATGCAGTCCCATGGTAGCCGGTGACCAACGATTGGTTCATACGCCATTCGTTCCCGCAGGATACTGGAGCCCATGTGCACCATTGATTTGGAAACCGGTTAAAGCGCCGGACATTCGCTTTTCGTCCTCTCATTTTCGTAGACAACACCCCCGCCACGAGAAGGCAATGAGTAGGACTTCCCTGGCAGAGGCTGTATACGCGTGGCCGTGTGAGAGTATTTCGAGAGGGAGAGCGGACTCTCCCCACTCTCGGCCGTACCAGGGCATTCAGGGGGTAGACGGAAAAAGATACTAATTGGAACAACTATGCGATGTAATGGATTTGGCAAAACGTTTTTGAAAGCGAAGAAGCTCTTTATTATATTTTGTGAGGGCTTAAAGAAAAATGTATTATTATTCAGCATAATGGATATACTTCTGTTTTATGTGAAAAATTCGGGTAGATATACACCTAATCGCGATGCCTTCGAAGCATCGGATGCGCACTGATGTCGACACTAACTCCGAGATCATCCGTGTAGCATTAACCAACGGAATTTTACGAGGCATAGAAGTTTTTGGCTTTAACTTGCTGAGATAGCTGCGATAAGCATGTTTTGATACTGCACACAACATTCTAAGACAAAAAGAGTAAAATGATAAAAAATCTGAGTAGCTGAGATTGCAAATGACCTATTATTTGACAAGATTCAGACGGAATCTCAGGCGTTTAGCCCTGCCGTTAAAGTAGTAATCCCCAAAACAAGACTAAAATTCCTATATTTTGGGAGAATCTGGTAACTTTGGGAAACACCAGTTTTACACTTCCAAGCAAAGGCTTCCTAAACATGACGTTTAGCATCTTGCATTTCATTAATTCGCGACTGAGAGGGGTCTTAGTTGAATACACTGAACACATCATATGAGAATAATTGGATCGCTACAGAGATATTACGCTCCCTTAGGAAAAACACAAAACGTCCTGGTGCGTTGACTGTATGTAAAATGACTTTCAGTATATATCAGATCTTAGTTCCGATCAGCGAAAAGGATGGATCTCGTAAATTGGATTCGGTTTTCACTATATTTGATGGTCAAACATTACTATGAAATCACGTAATATGGGAAATTACCAAGTGAATGAAACTTAGGGAAACCCAATCCCAAAATGCAGCCTTAAGTGTGAAAGTACTTATCAGAAAAAATGGACGTCTAATCTACACAAGTCTGGAACTGTCCAGAGATAAACAAGTAGAATTACGATCGACAGGACACAGTGAATAAAAAAGGTCGGGGTGCAAATAATGAATAACGCAAAACAACATACCAATACTTTGGCAAGTACACCTTCCTCCTCTGATTCAAATGCAATAACTGCTTTGTCCGTCTGAACTTCGCAGAGGATATCTCCAGCAGCTACCTGCTCTCCTTGTCAAAATAATGTATATTGCTAAATAAGTACTACGTACCTTCATTCTTAACCCAGTTGACGATTGAGCCCTCAGACATGGTTGGGGACAAAGAAGGCATTTTGATATGTACTGGAACTAAACCTATGAAGCTTAGAAATTGATCTTACATTGTAGTTTTCTTGAAGTATGGACGAAATGTCTCAAACATGACAATCTCGATAGATATAAGCGGACAGACATCTCTCGTTTTCAGCGCGGTTTCATTATCCGATATTTCTGTGAATGGCTTGTTTAAAGCGATCGATTCACTTATGCTCGCTTCTTCCGGTCCCATTACAAGTATTTGGTAATACCTAGTGGCTGTAGTCAGGCCACTCAACTGTTACAGTATTAATCACTTTGGTAGCTATTGTTCGGAAGTAACATCTACTCCTAGCAAGTCACTGAAACTCTACCCTCCAATTATCTAAACTCGTACTCCTTTTCGTAGAAACATAAATATAAGAATATGTTGCAATATTTATTATTACACATTGAATTCAGCTATGTGCTTAGGTTTAAGTTTGACACCTCTAGTTACAGCTATTTTTGGTTTGGCGTATTGCTTTTTTAGCGGTTAGTAGGGCATATTGTTGTTTTGCAATGAGGCTTAGTAGACAGAAAGAATTCGAAATGGGTTTGTTCTTTTGATGGTAGCCGGTCAACACTAATCACCGTACAGGGAGGTGCCTGCACTCCCATGTATATATCTGTGGACACATTTCATGTACACATACCCAGACTTCTGGGGTTACTTAAGTGTTTGCTGAATGTGATACAAAGTGTTGTGGATGCGGAGGAATAGACCAATAATTATCATGTTAAGTCCAATGGTGTCCTTGGACTTTAAATGGTCATTTTCTATTGGTCGATATCTGTTCACTTGTTGAATATTGTACAAAATGTTGTTTTCTATTTTATGGTACGATGTAGCATGGTTGATTGGTATATAAACAAAGTATATTTGAAATAAAATGATTCATATACATATGTAGTCAATTTCAGCATCAAATTATTATTTGTGATTAATTAATCTTCTGTACCTAGCTGTAACACAAAAGATCGAGGACTTCTTGACGTAATCTTTACTGGCATCGTCTATCGTTACCATCTCCATGAATGAGTCCAGCCAAATAATCTAGGTTGTATGAAAATAATTCATTAGATACTGATATGAAGACCCATATTCTTTAAATATAGCTCCCTAGTTTCTGATAAACAATGTCTATTTAAATAGCCAGTATGCAGTTAGTTTAGCTGTATTTAGAAAAATGTTTTATAATTGAATGATTAAGCAAAAGCCAATAGTTTTTCCACTACGTTTAGGAATCCGCTAGCAAAAAATCAAAGATAGGTCTTTTTGCTACAGTACGCGTTGATAGTTAACCACAAAGAAGTTTGACCATACTAAATTTAATCTTCAGAAATAATTTTAGAATTGATGAACTAGTCTTGAAAACATTTGTTCAAGTAACAGTAAATCAGTTATCATCTTTTATATGTTACTGTTGAGCCACTTAATACAATACGTCAGTTTGTCTAAGTAAAAGAAATTAAAAAGGTGAGTAGTGAAGCGTATGCTGCAAATGAAAGTAAAATGTGGTGTATGCATGAACTGGTGTTTCCTTTGTACTTGATGACTGCTCAAATTCGAATTCCAAATACAATAAATGTAACAGTGTCAAAAATCATCACATGTGACGTTACTAACGTGAGTCGGTTTTTCTTATAGCAGGGCAGAAAAGAGTAAATGTACTGGAAAAAGAGGAACAAGCCCTACGTAATCTGAACCTGCAGAACGATGGGTGAAAATATCTTGTAATAAGTTTCCCCTTTTTGTACCCAAACCTTCACGGTTTTGCTCTTGTGATTTGCTGCATGATCACTCGTGTTCCAAGTAAACACTGATGCTACGTGCTACACCTGGTGATGGAGGTGACTACGGTAAAGCGTGATGGAAACGATGATGATCCGCCGGTAATCCCAGTCAAAGTAGCAACCGGTACAACTACTCTCCAACCACCACTACTCTGAACCTTATCAGATTATGCTATCCGGAAAGTCAGAGTAATGGCATATCTGTGTTGTGTTCCGACGACAGAACACTTTGACTGTCTTTAATCTTACCTAGGTGATGGGGCAGCAAAAAGAGCAACGGCTTCGCGGCAAGCAATTCGTCGTCCCTAAACTTGGAAATTTTAGGTGAATGTTTTTTTTTTAACAATGGACACTCAGCAGGTGACCAGTCAGTTTCTATCACGTCACCAGAAGGCGAGTGAAGATCCCATTGACTATCTTCACTCTTTGCAACTAACAACAGTCCAAGCGTTTCCTCATCTAGATTTCTCGGGGCGAGAAGAATTAATGCGCTCGCGATTTGTTGAGGGGCTTTTGCTGTGTGCGCTCCGAAAGCACCTTCTACGAATGCCATCAACTAGAATGCAGAATCTAAAAATCATGACTCTTTGTTTTACGGCCGAGGACAAACTATCCAGTCCTTCAGGTGAACCCCATCAGATGGTAACGTTTACCAAAGAATGTGATGCATCGCATCAGTTTGATACCGCTCAAACTGTTTCCGCGGTCAAATGTCTGTAGTGGAATCGGGCCCTAACTACACAACCCAACGATGGAGAAGGCGGGAACAAGAAATTGAATTAATTCGAATTGATCGGACGGCATGGCTCGGCCTTGCAGGCGTGGTCAGTCTTAAGTGTTATAGCATAATCTTTAATTCACATTAAATATATTGCCCTATCTCAAAAACTTAGTGTATTCCTCATCATGTATTGATAATTGTTACGACGCAATAAGTTGGCGTAAACAATGATGTGACTTCCATGTAATATCTCATGGACTAGGCAGTTACATCATGAAAAACCTACAATTTAAGGATCAGGTCTATTATTAGAGCAGTACTAATGTCATAGTAGATCATAATTCTGCAATGGTAAGACCGATTGAGGAAACGCAACCTGTTCTTAATCCTCTTCTACACTTTTACTTTCTCGATCTAGATTAACTCATATTTACGCATAGTCCATTAAACAATTGACGCTTGCACACGCGTAGTATCGTAATGTTATGATGATTAATACTCATAGCAGATTAACTGAGTCGATTACAATTAATGGGACAACTGAGTAAATAAAAGTTAGGACAGAATAAGTTAACGAACAGTTCTCAACCCACTAAGGGGGAAGAAAGACGGGATCGCTCACTTGCCCTGAAATTCAGGGCTTCAACTCAGAAGCTATAACGCTGTCTCATCACAGTTTCGAGAAAAGTATGAGAATATTTGAGAGGAGGCTAGAAGGCAGATGGGTAAAGAGGTCTAAAATTCAATGTGAAATACTTAAGTTGATCTGTTGTTTTTTTCATTAATTTTTTTTGGATGATCAATACCGTCTGGATATGGTTCCCTCTGTTACACTGAGAAAAACGGCTTCAATCTTGGCAAAACCTCTTAATATGATACCCTCATATTTGCTAAGCCGAAACACGGTCTCATAAAATTGGAGGTTGGTGGACATCATACAAAGTTTCAAAGGAAGCCGAAGCAGCGAACTTTCAAGCTACAACACTCCTCTCAATACCTTGAAAGATCATAAACAGCATGTTATGCGATGGTTTATGCAACTACTTACTATCCAAAAAATTCTTTTCACCTTAACAGAACGGTTGCAGTAAGGGTTATTCTTGTATAACCAGACTGCTGACTCCAGTGAACAGATGAACAACTATCCTTGATCACAAGAGGATGGTTGATAACTTATACCCCGACTTCTAAAACACCTTCAATAAGGCCAGCCATATATGTCCTATTAATGAGTTCGAACGGTTAGGTATCATGTGACTCTTAACTAATTGGCCTTATCGATATTAAAATAATCAATTTTCCGAGGCCAGAGTAAACTCGACATTTTTCAGGCTACAGAATATCACAGGGAATACTCTCAAGGTCCTGTACTAAGAGCTATTCTCTTCTTAGTTTGAATAAATGATCTTCCTAAATAAGTATCGTCTGATTCATTAATTTCCGCTGATGTTGTGAAACTCTCGATGGAATACAATCTACCACGTTCGAGGAAATTTCGGGGAAGAACCCCAAAGTCAGATGTCCTTCCCCAAAGTTTGAAGAAAAACATCGAACTTTAGGGGAAAACGCGAAGTTCACCCAAAATCGTGAAAACTTTTGAGTTTTAATTATTAAATACAGGATGATTTCCCCCAATTGTATTAAGATTCTGAAGAAACTTTTGGGAAGTTTTGGGGTTTGGCTGATATCCCTCCAAAATTTCCTAATGCGGCTTCACTAAAATGGGTCAACGTTTTCCCAAAATTGTGAGACTTGGGAGCTTGTGACCGAGTTGATTAGCTGGCGCGTCAAAAAGATCTGACTCGACTTCAAAGTTTAGCGAACAACAACAGACCTACTTTCAACACTTCACACTGGAAAGTAGTCCATCTCAGACATGTTTTAGTCCATGCATACAACTTAGGTAACCCATCTTTAGATGTATCTGTAGTGGCATTGAACAATAACCGCACAATCCACAAAGCTGAACACGAGACTACTCAGAAAATAGATATTCAATATTTAACGCGGATAAATACCTAACAATGGAGAAGGCGCGAAGAATGAATTGAATGGACTGGGTTTGATCGGATGGCATGGCTCGTCCATGCAGGCGTGGTCCATCTCAATGTTACTTAATATCTTCTATTCATATTAAATATATTGTTCTTTCTCTAGCCTAACCTTGTTCTACATCATGTATTGATAATTGATACGATACAGTGAGTTGGTGTAGTCGATGGTGTGACTTCCACGTAAGATCTTATAGATTAGGCAGTTATATCATGACAAATCTACAAATTTAGAATTAGGTCTAATATTAGAGCAGTACTAATATCATAGTAGACCATAATTCTACATATCTTAGATTGCTTTATAGGCTAATCGACTAACAGAATGAAGAATTTGACGATGAATTCTACGATAGCCTGCCGTCAATCCACGAGAATTTCCTAACAAATATTTTGTCAACGTGAAGGTTCACCTTAATAATAGTACTGAGAGAAGAGTAAAAACTCTGTAGTTATCACACATGCTGAGATCGCCATTCTTTGGTATTTTGATCAGGTGTCCCTCTTTCCAATTTGTTGGTACTTGTTCCTCATCCCAAATCTTGCTGAAG